TGAAGGCGAGCAGTCACGTGAATAAGCGTAGTAGTGCTTGAGAGGTTATTGACATGAAAAAGATGAATGGGAAAAATTAAAGTCTAAGGGGCGGATATGACCCACGGGAAAGTGTGGGATACGAAAGAATTTAAATATGGTATTCTCGACTATGTGGGTCAGGAACAATTTTTTTGATTTTAATACGAGTTCAGCCCCGTCGCTTAGCAATATAATCGCAAACTCTCTAGTGATCTACTGTCCTGGACACCTAACCATAGAACAAGACGAGTAGGACGCTCAGCAACCACCTACATTAACCAACTATGATATGACACAGACTGCCTCCCTCATGACCTTCTGACCTTGATGCTGGGCTGTGATGGTTGAAGTGATAGACTCATGAACGTCTGAGCTCGCGCAACCGAAAAAAACTATTGACTTTTTTTTTTCATTTAAAATGTTACATGTATTAGAAATTATCAGTCAGTCAGTTATGTGCCATGCGTGATACACGCTTAGGCGATCATGTATCTTTCGATACATGACTGACGAGGCAGATTTTTTTTTCCCCGCAGTAGGTTGCTATTTCAATCTGCGGAGGACCAGTTACCATCCAAAGCTACATAACCCGGTCTGTCCTACTATTTACTACTTTTTTGGGGGGATGGGGGTGGAGAAAAAGAGGAATCATACCTTTTCTAAGTAGCTTACCTTAGGTCCAAGCGTCGACCAGGTTGGGATTGGGGGAGGAATCAACGGCCAATCCTCGGCCCACACCAACTGGTGGGCTTGGGAGGTATGCTTTCAATAACATTTACAAAGAGGAGATGGAGAGGCTAGTCAATTCCAATTTCAAACATTATATCAAGCAAAAAAAAGATACTGTCACAACATCGTTAGAATACTCACAAGACACACTCGCATCTAGTTAAAGACATTCAATTTTCCATTTTTGCCGTTTTCCCCCTTTTTTTTCTTTTTCTTTTAACTTTCGAACCGGGGTTTCTTACTAAACTATCAAATAAGGAGAATCATTGGGACAAAATGCCTTGGGGGGGGGGAAGAAATAGAAAAAATTTAAATACGAAGAAAAAAAAATACCAAAATAAAAAATGTAAATGGGATTCTGCTAGGCCAGCAAGCAAGTGGTCGTCTGCTTTATCATCTTGAAATTCAACTTGAATTTGAACTCGGCTCTCCGATTTCTCAATCCGAGCGGCTATCCATTACTCAACTGTGCCAGTTCAATTACAGAATGAGTCATAACAATGTTAGCCAGAAACTGTTGCCACATTCATTTCATTTTATACAGTCGGGCAATTTTTGCCGCTGTGGTCACCACACTCCATCTCACAATTGTAGTTAAAGGCAGTATAGCGCAATGGCTTACAGGATCCTTTTTGCACATGGGACGATGAGGTTACCGCGTCCATCTTCTCAGCGGTGGATTTGTTTTTTGAAGTCAGAACCTACAAGGTGGTTTGAAGACAGTTCACTTCTCCTAGACTGGTTACCACCTAAGGCTATAGGACCCAGTCTGTCCTGCTGCTAGAAGAGATGAATTCATACCTTTCCAAAGGGTATTAGCACACGTAAGTGAATGAAACGAACTCGATTGAAATTCAAAGTTGATTCTCCGATTCCTCAATCCGATCCGTTATTCGTTTGCCAGACAGAAAGGGACATTATCACACGTAACACAGATATCCATATTTAATTTATTAGTTTGTCTGTATGCATTTATATTTTATTTCGATGCAGAATTCTTTTTGTTTAATCAATTCATCCTAATCAAGGGAATAGTGCCACTAAGACGCAAGAGGCTACTGGGAGTGAAAGTGAATGAGAAGACTTTAGAGCGATTGGTGAACCTATCTACTCCTGTTGAGAAAAAAATAAATAAATGTTGTGGAGTGATTTCGCAGTGGAGGCTTGTATTTGTACTAAATCGGTACTAAATTCAGGAGGACTGATATTACATAATAGTACAGTAGTTTTTTATTGGTTTCTAATAAAATTTTCCTGTTTCTTAACACTTGGCTTTGCTATTGGATTTCAGTGTCACCCTTACCGTTCTTTGTTAAAACACTAGTTTTTTTTAATAATTTTATGCTAGTCTTTAAAAATTATTCTCTCAAAAGTAATTTTTGTATTAATCTTAAAAAAATTATATTTCTATTATTTCAAAATTAAAAAAATATATATATTTTAATGAAATATTATCAATCTATTACGTTTTTCTTTTATTTTTATCAATTCTTTTTCGATTTTTCCCTTAAGTTTTCCAAGCCCTCTTTCCTCGTTACGTGCCCTAGAAATTTCGTCTTTTTCTGTTGTTAAGTATAAGGGTTCTTTTTGTTTCCATTTTCTTAAAGACTTCATTGGTATTCTCAGCATCCTTCTGTAGAACACATTTCTGTTGCTTCAAGTCTCTTCTTCATCTGTGAGGAGATTGTCCAGTATTCACTGCTATATAGGAAGACTGTTCCGTACTCTTTTCTTTGATTTGACACAGAAATCCAAAGAGACATTAAAATAGCGAAAGAAATTTCCCAAGACCTTAGGAAACAGGAAAATGCCTCTGAAAGAAATGTAAGTGTGCTCAAATAACATGTAATATTAATCTTACTTTATGACAGCGCCAGCTGGAGTGTTTGCTCGTAGATGAAAAGGATACTTGATCCAAAAGAGATGTGACTCTGCAGAAGGCTGCTGAGTATGCCATGGATGAAACAAGCGAGCAACGAAGACGTTTTAATGAAAATGTTAACAAAAAGGACCCTTATATTTGAAATTAGAAGGGGGCAATGGACATTGTTGAAAGACATAATGAGGAAATATGGCTTGGAGAATTAGACACTCACAAGACATCCTGAAGACAAGAGGAGAAGAGGCAAACAATGGGCTTGTGCAAGTGAATATCAGGACTGTAGTAAAAGCAAAAAACATTGCTTAGTACTACAAATGTTGGGAAGTTGTGGAGAGCCATGATCCTCTACGTCTGGAAGAGATTCGTTACAGAGAAGAAAAAGGCTTACCTTAAAAATCAACAAGCGACTTTTAACGAAACCAACATCTGTAATCCTCTGCCCAAGTTATCAAGTTCTTTCTTATAAGAAAAACATTCCTGATTGATTGATTTGTTTTTACGGTTTATCAACCCTCTGCAGGTTATTGAGGCCCAGAAAATACTTTAGATTATAAGAATTATTTTTAGATACGCAGGTGAATATAATGAACCAGACTGGAATTCGAAATCGGCTCTTCGATTTCCATATAATAATAATTCTGAAACTGCTATGTTAAATCAATTCTCTTATATGACAGTGAAGAAAAGACTGGTAAAAAAAACATCGTTGCTATAGAGCTACAAAGGATAGGAATTTGTGGAGAGCCATGATCGTCCATGTCTTGAAGAGATACGATACATAGAAGAAGAAGAAGAAGAAGAAGAAGAAGAAGAAGAAAGGAAGATGGATAAATAGTCGTCTAAATTACGTGAAAATGATAATAACACTGACATCTTATTTTAACAGATATATTTACCGAAATTACACAAAAATATCTTGAAATACTAAAGGGTAAATTTCTTTAATAAAATCGCCATTGGCTTCAACCACGTTCTCCAGATGACTTCGAGATCTCCGGCAACTTTCTAGATGGTTTCCATGGTTGGGGTTTTGTTGGTCTCTGAAGACCACACAATCAAGGGGGATGCAGTTTGGGGAGTTAAATGGCTATATGTAAGGGAAGATGTGGTCGCAGAAATTGTCTGACAACCATGACTGGTGTGGCATTGTGCAGAGTCCTGTTGCCAGATATAGGGTATTCCAGCAGTCACACTTTTGACCCAGCGCAGCACTCCTTCCTCGAGGCACTTAATGTAGACCTTCATATTGAGTCTGAGGCCCTCACCAACAAATTTAGGGATTTCTTTTCTTATCAGAACAAAAAGAGTTAATTTTCCGATCTACCTTACCAACGTAATCACCATTAGAGTCATCCAATTCTTTCCGATTCCTTTGCACTGTCTTCTGATTGATACCCAAACATTCTGTAGCGAATCTCCTGCATCTCTTCTGGACGGTCTCCCTGTTTAAGTTGATGAATGCTTCGATAATACTTGCCTTCAGTTCATCTTTGGTGTTACAAGGAGTTTTGTTGGTCTCTCGCTCAACTGCGCCCTACATATAATAATCAAGGGGATTGCAGCCTGGGAAGTTAGATGGTCAAATATAAGGGGTGATGTGACCGCATACATCGTCTGACGGCCATGATTGGGTTTTCATGCTTGTGTAGCATAGTACATAGTCCTGTTACCAGACACAGGGTCTTCCACCAGCAATCTTCTTGATCCAGGGAAACATTACCTTCTCAAGGCACTTCATGTAGGCCATGGTGTTGAATCTGAGTCGCTGAGAGAAGATGAATAGAGGCATAATGTCGCCATCACTAGTGATCCTCCAAAACACCTTCGTAATCACAATTAGAGTAACCCATCTCATTCAGAATCCTCTGTACTGTCCTCATATTGACACCCAAAGAGTCTGAAATGTTCGTATTGGAGCTTCCGGTGCGTCATACGGACCCTACAAGACTGTGCAGTCGACAATATCAAAAACAAACAATGCGCATGCGCGAAATTAAAAATATAAAATGGCGACAATTTACCCATCGCATCCTGTATCTTCAGGTGAAAGGAATTGCATAAGTTCTGAGACCACCCAAAAAATGATGGCTGTGTTAGTTGGTTTCTATTATCTGTGAACTATAATAGAGTTTTTCGCATGATTACCGGGCTTTCTAATAAATATTTATAACAGGATCTAAACAGTATTTATAAACATTAGCACAGTAACTGTTAAAAAATATAAAAATTACACTATTATTTAAGTATACATCAGCACATCTACCGAGGATGCGTGTGTGTGTGTGTGCATTTGTGTGTGTGGGTGTGCGTGCGCGCATGTGTATGTGTATGTATCAGTCGGTGTATCAGAAGAAGAGTGTGTGCGGTG